CAGAACATGCGCAAGCCTCTTTTGTTCTGGAACTGGCCTCAGGAAGTGCAACTGCGGAGCTGGGGCCTCACCGTGTCATGGCCCACCCCCTCAGCTGATGGGAAGGTGTGTCACCTCTGGTATTCTTTCCTAATCAGGGAAAGAAAGGTATTGTCCCTTCTCAGAATTGGAGAGCGCGGCAAGGAGTGCACAGGGCCAGGTGTCTTCTCGCTCCCGTAGCCAAGCTACAGGCAGCAGAGTCCCACGCTGCTGCCTGTGGCCATCAAGTCGATATAGAGCCTTGTGCCAGCTTGGCCCTTGTGAATCTTCCACGTATCGATGGCGCACCTACCTTGTGCCAGGCGCAGCGGATCCCACAATGTAAAAGAAAAGGAAATACACTGCGACATGTGATATGGCGAGACATGAAACAAATCAGCAGAGGCAAGATCATGGAGTCACTGAAGGCTTTCATGCAAGGGATTAGCAGTACAATTTGTTGTTTTAGAAAGACACCAGCTGCACTGTGGCCCACAGAGGAAAAGCCAGAAATAGGGAGATCCGCCCCCTAAATGGGAGAGGGTGGCCTGAACTAGAGTAACCGCAGGGAGGGTGGAGCGCTGATCATTTCAAGGATCTTCAGGAACTGGAATCATCAGAACTTGGGAATGACTGCATGTGCGAATAAGGGGGAAGAGTCAAGGAAATGCCCAAGTTTGAGGCCCAAGGAACAGGTCTGGGAGTCCGAGATGAGGAGTTCAGCTTTGTACATAATGAGTTTGAGATGCCCGCGGGACATCCAAGTACAAGTATTAAAGGGGTAACTGAATATATGTAACTGAAAGTTTGTGAAATCAAGGCTGGCGATAGAGATTCTGGAATCTTCTGAAAGCAGATGGCAATTGAAGCTATGGAAATGGATGAGAGTGTGTGTAAAGAGCACGAGGGCTCAGGATAGAACAGCAAGGGCAGGTAGAGAAGTCATTGACCAGGTAAGAGTACAGTGCAACGGCAACTAAGGAAACGCGCTTCAAGAGGGAATATCAACAGTGATGAATGCTCCAGAGAGAGCATGTCACATGTAACGACTGAGAAGTGGCCACAAGATTTAGAAATCAAGTCAGTGTTGGTGACCTGGGCTAGAGCAGTTTCAGTGGAGAGAAGGAAATGGAGATAATTGTAGAGAATAATCCAGTGACTTCACTGTGAAGGAGCAATTGGTATCTGAAGGGGCACATGACATTCAGATACTTATTTTTACCATATTTGAAGATTGGTAGGAAAGAGCCAGGAGAGGAGAGGTTACAGCAGAGGGCGGTTCCTGAAGAGGTAGGATCTGAGCTCAAGTAGAGACTGACTTCACTACAGGAGGCCTTAGACACTCCCTCTTTCCTAAGGGAAAGCTTAGATGGACATGTAGCTATGTTTATAGGTTTGGTGATGGGAGGTGGAATTTCTTTCTTTAACTAAGGGCGGGGAAGGTGTTGAAGGTGTGAGCAAAGTGGAACAGCTTTACATTGGGACTCTCGAGACTGGCAAAGGGCTGACTATTGCAACTCACTCAGCAGTAGACAGTTAAGGAAGACCATGAAATCCTCATGATCCCAATTTATAGTTACATTATTTTATTTTATTTATTTTTGAGAAAGAGTCAGGGGGATGGGAAAAGCCTGTGGCCCAGGTTGGAGTGCAGTGGCAGGATCTCGGCTCACTGCAACCTCCGTCTCCTGAGTTCAAGCAATTCTCCCTGCCTCAGCCTCCAGAGTAGCTGGGACTATAGGCGCATGCAACCACGCCCATTTTTTGTATTTTTAGTAGAGACAGGTGTTTCGCCATTTTGCTCAGGCTGGTCTCGAACTCCTGAGCTCAGGCAATCCACCCGCTTTGGCCTCCCAAAGTGCTAGGATTACAGGTGTGAGCTAGCGCCTGGCCTATAGTTACATTACTTTAAATGCCTGGATTAACCAGCTAAGAAGTTTTTTTTTGTTTTTTGTTTTTTTTTAATTAAAATTTCTTTTTTTGGCCCCAGTGCTACTACCAAAGCAGTCAGGAAGTTGAAGGTAAGGCAGACAACTGGATTGATTTAGGTATATATAAGTGTGTTGAAGGTTATTGATGAAATTGTTAAAGTGATTAAAGACCAAAGGTGGAGAGGGGTTGAGGGAAACCAAAAATAGAGTCTAACTGGGTAGAGAAGGAAGAAGAAAAGAACAGAGAGGACAAGGGGCTGCAGTCTTCAGGTTCAGTAACGAGTGTAACTGGAATGTGAGAGCTGGAAGAAACACCAAATGTTGTGGCCAAAGAGTGGGCTGTCTGAATTTACTATTTCAGATGTAGAGCAGTTCCACATCATGATAGGGTATACAGTGTGGCCATGATAAGGAATGGTGAAGTTTGCTTGAGGTAAAGAAGAAACTGGAAACCTAGGTGTGGCTGGGTTGTCCACATGGCCACTGAGGCCATGCAGCATAAAGGCTTGGGCAGAAGAAAGTGAGCCAGGTGTTAAACCAAAACCGTATTTCCCTTCTTTGAAATCAGTTAAGAATTGAGGCACAAAAGCAGAACCAGCATTATATAGCAGTCATTTGTAGAATCTGCTTTGGGTGAAGTCACGTCAGCCTCAATTAGAGATTTGGCAGTTGTCATGGAAATAAAGGGGACATCTGTGAAGGTGAGTTATGATGGCATCTGGCTAGATGGGTGAAGAGAGCGAAGAGGTGCCTTGCAGCGAACCATTCAGCCTTTCCCACACGTGAGTCAGGAGTAGGCGGTATGAGGACTTCATCGCACCAGCAAGGAGGAGAAAAGCCATCTACCCCATGTCCACCTGACTTGTTGCTCCTGCCCACATCCCTGCCTCTTGAAGGGAGAGAGAGGCAGAGTGGGAAGACATACTGCCTAACGGTGAGGGAAAACACAGAGACTGATTCAAATGGCAGGAAACCCCTTGTAAATGTTTGTGGTGGTTCACATTTTATTGAGACAGGATCTTGCCATGTTGCTCAGGCTGGTCTCATGCTCTTGGATTCAAGCAACGCTCCTGCCTCAGCTTCCTCAGTAGCTGCATAACTACAGGACTCACTTTATCGTGTTTTAAATAGAGTTCCACTTAAAAACTCGCAATAGAGAAACAGGAAAAGGAATTTTTAAAAGCATATAAACTAGGTGTATGTGAATAAATACACCGTGCAGCTCTGGGGCTGGCTGTTGGGGCTGGGACTGCAAAGGTACCATCCTTCTTGTGAAGGATGTGTTTTTTCTAATTGGGGGACAATTCCAGGTCTTGAATCTGGATGACTAGAACAGCAAGTAGTACTAAAGTGGTTTGAAGAAGCACTAAAAAGTGGGACGTTTTAAACACATTGCATGTAACATATCCCATTGAAGACCTTGCTCTCTTTAATGTCTTACAAGTTTATTCCCATGTTAAAAATAATTTTAAAAGGCCAGGCACAGTGACTCACACCTGTAATCCCAGCACTTTGGGAGGCCGAGGCGGGTGGATCACGAGGTCAGCAGATCGAGACCATCCTGGCTAACATGGTGAAACCCTGTCTCTACTAAAAATACAAAAAACTAGCCGGGCATGGTGGCGGGCACCTGTAGTCCCAGCTACTCAGGAGGCTGGGGCAGGAGAATGGCGTAAACCCCGGAGGCGGAGCTTGCAGTGAGCCGAGATTGCGCCACTGCACTCCAGCCTGGGCGACAGAGCGAGACTCCGTCTCCAAAAAAAAAAAAAAATTAAAAAAAAAAAACAAACTATAGGTACTACTGTCAACACTCTGATAATGCAAGGAATCTCAATTTGTTGGGTAGATACTGGAATATCACACTTTCTTAAAACAAAGTATATTTTATAGTAGATAGTCAAATATCTTTTTGGGTCTCACTGCAAAGTTTGAGAATGGTGACATGTTATTTTTGAACCCTGCAAAATATTTTCTCAACTCTGTAAATGGGTTTAAATTCCACCTCCCACCACTTGATAAACTTTTTTTTTCCTGCCCCGACAGGGTCTTGCTTTATCACCCAGGCTGGAGTGCAGTGGTGCTTATGATAATTCACTGTAATCTTGGACCCCTGGGCTCAACCAATCCTCCCCTCAACCTCCCAAGCAGCTACAACTATAGGCACGTGCCACCACAACCCAGCTAATTTTATTTTTCAGAGACAGGGTCTATGTTGCCCAGGCTGGTCTTGAACTCGTGGCCTCAGGTGATCCTTCTGTCTCAGCCTCTCAAAGTGCTGGGATTACAGGTGTGAGCCACCATGCCCAGCCTAGCTGACCTTTTAATTTGCCCGTGAAATGGGTACTTACCTCATACTGATGCTGTGAGAAACAAATAAGAATGTAGTCAAGTACTTATTGCAGAGCCTAGTACATAGTAGTCACTTGGGTAGTTATTATTAATAAACAGCTGTAAGATGATAGTCACACTCTAACAGTAAGATTATTTATTGGATTCTCCCACATTCATCCTCCACCTCCTGAGATTAGAACAGGGGAGAAAAACCTGAGACCACAAGAAGTGATCAAGAAACAAAAGGCAGCGGCAGTTATCGCTGCAGTTCCTATGAACTGCTTTAAGTCAGCAGTGAGGTATTTGTATTTTGTATTGCATTACTCCCATAAAGTTAAACTCAATTAACTAGAACCTCTGTTCCAAAATGGTGTTTATAGCCAGGCGTGGTGGCTCACGCCCGTAATCCCAGCACTCTGAGAGGCCAAGGCAGCTGAGGTCAGTTCGAGACCAGCCTGGCCAACATAGTGAAGCTCCGTCCCTACTAAAAATACAAAAGTTAGCTGGGCATGATGGTGGGCGCCTATAATCCCAGCTACTCTGGAGGCTGAGGCCGCAGAATTTCTTGAATCCAGGAGGTGGAAGATGCAGTGAGCTGAGATCACACCACTGCCCTCCAGCCTTGGCAACAGAGCGAGATTCCATCTCAAAAAACAAACAAAAAATCAAAATGCTGTTTATATTCACTTTTAGAAGAAAAAGCAAATGACAAAAAAGGGTTACATATATATATTTATTTTTAAAAATTCCAGGGGATGTCCCAAAGTTAGTAAACAGTTCTGTTTCTTATCCTTTCTATGGCTGATGCAGTTTCAATTGTTCAGTTCAACAGAAAGGTCATTTGAAAGGTCTCCACCGTCAAGAAACACTTACTCATCTCTGGCATATCATATTTTTTAAGGCAGAAGTATTTTGTATAATGGTTACTACAGAGTGTTTACTGGTTAATTTTTAGTTAACCAGAACCACACATCCCATAGATATTCCATTTAACTGAGGTTTATATCCATAAGAGCATTACCACAGAAAAATTTCCCTTTAGCAATTTCAGGAGACCTCAGCCACCAACATACGTACCTTCTTGACAATATAAAGTGAAATATTGCTTTGGATGAAAAATTTTTATATATTATTTAGAAAAAATTAAATTGATACTTAAAAGAATTTTGATTTTTAATCACCTTCCACAACGATTTGATATACCTTAAACTCCACTTACATTTTTTATAAGAGAATCACTTTCAAGGGAAAAAATGAATCTTACTATATTTTAAAAATCTGCTTTATAAAAAAGCGTATATATGTCAATCTGCCAGATATACTTCCTATCCCCAACACAGCTGTAACAGTGACTAATAGGGTCATGACCATGAAGCAAATTTTACTTCCTAGATAGAAATGTGTAGGTGGCAGAAAGTGTATTTTTCAGCAGGAGTGATTCTGTTGGATCTCTTTACAATATCAGAGCAGTTGTTAGAAATGTTAGTATTTTATTCGGTTTCTTGCTGTGCAGGATTTTCACAATGTTGAAGTGATGTCTGTTCACCCAGTCGTCATCACCGTCATCGTCTCAGTCTTGGGAACCATCAGCAGTGTCCCCCACACAGAGAGACAGGTATAGTGGTGCAGTTTAGTGACAGAGAATCCAGTCTTAGATCCTGTTTATATCACATTTTTGTGAATTTACACAAAATTCCATTTATAGCTTTAAAACTGTACTACATAACACATTACTACTACAAAATATCCTTCTCTGTAAATGCACTGAAAATTTTCTTGGGCATTTTATTAGGCCTTTTTTTAGCATTATTACAAATGCTAACAACTAGATAGTTCAAACCCCCAAATATAAAGTCAGCTTCTTAATTTTCTGAAATTTAGTTAATACGAATTCTGTAGGAATACTGACCCATCTCTTTTCATCCAACCTTCAAAACAGTTAATTAAGCCTATTTGCCCATCTCAATTAACCTTCAAAATAGTTACAAACAAACCCAAACTAGCTATATATAACAAGAATCTTTCAATTTCCAAACTATTGAAAGACCCTAAGTCAGCCAATCTATGAAATTATACAAGATGAAGCTGAAAAGGCTGTGCTTTTTTTTTAACCATTAAACCCAGTTCTTTTCTCCTAAAGTTGTAAGAAAATGGAAAATCTGTTTTTAAATCATGCAAAGATTTAAATAAACATTTTTCTATCTCCTCTAAGAAACTGTTTCTTATCTTACGATTATAAATATTCATAACACTCAAACTACTTTTTTGTGGCCATTTATGTTTTTGACACTAGATTGTATGGTACTATTTTGCCAAGATGTAGTATAATGCTAAATTATGTATAAAATATGATTTCTGGAATTTGTCCATCTTCTATTGAAGTGCCATTATTATTGCCTGGGGAACTAAAAAAGAAAAAAACAGTCTTGCTTGCAGCAGGTGTCTCATGCACTACTTTCTTCAATCCTTTTGTGCCATAGTGGGAATCTGGACCCTAAATGAGAACAAAAGGTTCCTTAGTAATTTTCATTTAATAAGCACTCAGTTTAATGTGGTGTTTTAATTAATGTTCTATTACATTACACTATCACTCCTATATAAAATTTTATGATATCATTTAGAAAAAAATGAAGTTTTTACCAAAAAACTAATTAATGAATAAAAATACTGAATGTAGAGCCCAGCTATTAGAGAATAGTGAAAAAATTTTTTAAAAATTACTTTTATTTTCTGCCAAACATTCAACTGCTTACTGAAACAAAGGGCTACTTCTTAGGAAGACCTACTTCCTTTAGAACAGAGCTGTGGGGAGAAGCACTTCTTTTCAGAAGGCAGTGGAATATTTTAGGTACCAGCTTCTTTTCCCCGCTCTTTATAAATGGCTCAGCTGTCAGTGACTCCCAGCTTCTAAAACACACTTTCTGCAACATTCAAGAGGAAACCATCTGGAACATCGTGCATGATTCTTACTTTGAGTGTTGCACATGCTGTGTAGCACACATTGGGCAGGATCTCTATGGGTTCCTTGAACATGACCCTGAACGTGTTAGCCGTCCCATCACAACTAAAGCCAGTATCATTCTGTCCCAGCGTTTGTTTTTTCTCATATTCAATGATCTGTAATTTTTAAGAGACAAGTTACATTTAAGTTAAACCAAATGAAGCAAACTACAGAATAATATGAAGCCCTTAGGCATCTCTGTGTGTGTGTGTGTGTGTGTGTGTGTGTTTTAAACAGACTCTCACTCTGTTGCCCAGTCTGGAGTGCAGTGGTGGGATCCCAGCTCACTGAAACCTCCACTTCCCAGGTTGAAGCAATTTTCGTTCCTCAGCCTCCTGAGTAGCTGGGATTACAGGTGTGCACCACCACACCTGGCTAATTTTTTTGTATTTTTAGTAGAGACAGGGTTTCACCATGTTGGCCAGTCTGGTCTCCAACTCCTGGTCTCAAGTGATCTGCCCACCTCAGCCTCCCAAGTGCTGGAATTACAGTCTTGAGCCACTGCACCCAGCCCTAATTTTTCATTTTTTTTGTGTGGCAATGGGATCATGTTCTGTTGCCCAGACGGTTTCTATTATTTTACTCATAGTATTTATACTTCATCTTTTTTTCTTAAATTATATTTTATGTTCTAGGGTACATATGCACAACGTGCAGGTTTGTTACGTATGAATACATGTGCCATGTTGGTGTGCTGCACCCATTAACTCGTCATTTACATTAGGTATATCTCCTAATGCTATCCCTCCCCCCTCACCCCACAACAGGCCCTGGGGTGTGATGTTCCCCTTCCTGTGTCCAAGTGTTCTCATTGTTCAATTCCCACCTATGAGTGAGAACACGCGGTGTTTGGTTTTCTGTTCTTGCGATAGTTTGCTGAGAATGATGGTTTCCAGCTGCATCCATGTCCCTACAAAGGACATGAACTCATCCTTTTTTATGCTGCATAGTATTCCATGGTGTATATGTGCCTCTTAATCCAGTCTGTCATTGATGGACATCTGGGTTGGTTCCAAGTCTTTGCTATTGTGAATAGTGCCACAATAAACATATGTGTGCATGTGTCTTTATAGCAGCATGATTTATAATGCTTTGGGTATATACCCAGTAATGGGATGGCTGGTACACTTCATCATTTTAATGTACCTATAATCCTGATGCCCTCCCTCAGTTTGTACACAAGGAGTCTGGTGTCTTCTTTTTTTTTTTTTTTTAAGACGGAGTCTCACTCTGTAGCCCAGGCTGGAAGGCAGTGGCGTGATCTTGGCTCACTGCAATGTCTGCCTCCCAGGTCCCGGTTCAAGCAATTCTCCTGTCTGAGCCTCCCAAGTAGCTGGGATTACAGGCATGCACCACCATGCCCAGCTAATTTTTTTGTATTTTTAGGAGAGACGGGGGTTTCACCATGTTGGCCAGGCTGGTCTCAAACTCCTGACCTCGTGATCCACTCTCCTTGGCCTCCCAAAGTGCTGGGATTACAGGTGTGAGCCACCGCACCAGGTCGAGTCTGGTGACTTCTGTAATACATAATGTAAGAGTGAGGTTCCACAATCAGCGGCTGACAGTGGGGAACTTGCGCCTTCCTGGACCTGCCGATTATCCAGCTTGCTTAAGTGGGTTCATGGGGTCTACTGAATAGGATCTTAACAATATGTTAAAAAAGTATATAAAGTACAATGGGGAGTGATTGTGAAAATCTTTTATATCCTTCAGAGGTTTGCTAATGTCTTTCTGTACTTAAAAAACATGGAAACAAAATTTTCTAACCTATTAAAAAATCTTTCAAATAATTTCAGTGAGTTTAAAATTTATTAAAATATTAATATAACTTTTTGGCTGGGCACAGTGGCTCACACCTGTAATCCCAGCACTTTGGGAAGCCTAGGTGGGCAGACACCTGAGGTCAGGGGTTCGAGACCAGCCTTGCCAACATGGTGAAACCCCATCTCTACTAAAACTACAAAAATCAGCTGGTTATGGTGGCGCGTGATTGTAATTCCAGCTACTTGGGAGGCTGAGGCACAGTAATCACTTGAACTTGGGAGGCAGAGGTTGCAGTGTGCAGAGATCGTGCCATTGCACTCCAGCCTGGGTGATAGAGAGACTCTGTTTAAAAAAAAAAATAGCTTTCTAATTGGTTTATAAGTACAACAAACTGACATGAATGATGTAAATTTAGCAGCTGAATTTCACAATAAACCTTAGTGTACAGCATTGGAAAATAAGTAGAATGATTCTGTTGGCAGAGCCAATAACGCAATTCTTCCTTTTAGAGGATGGTATCTTCTTTCTGAGGTAGTATGGTATCTTTTTTGACTGTCATCAAGCCAGATGTTTGAACAGTTGTATCACAAAATATAAAACCAGTATTTTGAAAACTAACAATGCATTTTGATCATAAAGTTAACCAAAGTTTTTATTATTAAAGATAATATATTAATAACATTTTAGAGATGGTGGGTTCTTCTGTTGATAAACAAAAATGTGAAACATTTGTCTACTTTCTCATATTTTTCATGTCTCAATTTATACATAAAATATACATACAGTATTGCATATATATAAGTTTGTAAGTAAAAATACAATATGGATGTGTTTTCAAAAATAAATTTACTAATTTTACTAATCGGGGTATGCAGTCAAAAGTGTAGAGAACACCTTATTTATTAATAAGGAAAGGAAGGAGACAAGTATTTTAACTTTCCTCCAGAAAAGGGAGTAGTGCCCTATCTGAAAGAACTGAGGTGGAGAAAGCCTAAAGAATGAAGCAGGGGCCTAATGCCTGTAATCCCAATGCCTTGGGAGGCCAAGGCAGGAAGATCACTTGAGCCCTGGAGTTCAAGACCACCCTGGGCAATACGGCGAGACAAACAAACAAAAAAACAAAGAAAAATCAGTTGGGCGAGGTGGCACATGCCTGTGGTCCTAGCTACTTGGGAGGCTGAGGTGGGAGGATTTCTTGAGCCTGGGTGATTGAGGCTACAGTGAGCTGTGATCGCACCACTGCTCTTCAGCCTGGGCGACAAAGTGAGACCCTGTCTCAAAAAAAAGTAACCAAGAATAAAGCAGGGTCTGCTCAGCCCCTCAGGAAGTCACAGGATGCTCATACTAGTTACAAGAAATTTAGTTTCAGTCCTAGAGTTGAAAGGGCCATGAAAAAGGCAGGAGGGTGTTTTAAGACTGCAGAGCAGGAAGTACTAATAGAAGGGATTCCTGGACAAAGAAGAGCTCCTTATATGCTAATGCTTTTGTGAAGGACCCCAATTTTCTGCAACCAGACTTTTTAGATCAATTCTAAAACAGAACTCTCTATGCTTACAATGCTACTGAGAGGCCTTCTGATTCCTTTGACAATTATACTGAAATTTGGATTCTGTCAAAACAATATCTTATTGTAAAGTTACCTATTTGTTTTATTTTAAGATGATATATGGTGGAGGAGGAAACTGTACCTGTATATTCACTTGATAATCTGTAGGGCCATGAATAGATCCATATAAGCCAAATCCAACTATAGAGATCCTTCTATTAACTGTGAACCTGAGAGAAAGAAGCCAAAAATAAAATAACATAATTAATCCCATGTGTTCATATTCTGAAGGGTTATAAATTTTTTTAAGTGTAACCTGGAGGAAAACAAATTAGATATCCTTGGAAATGTCATCTGTTTGCTTACCAAAAAGCTTTCTAGAGTAGATTTGAACTTAACAGGAACCTAAAAATTGGTTTTGTAAAAGAATTTAACCTAAATATCCACTTTTGTTGTAATGACAATGTTAGTGCTATATGAGTCCAAATATTTGTACATCTTTTTCATGAACGCAGACATGTCAGCCATTAGGACTGAAGCCCAGCATCTCAAACTATAACAATTATCAATTCAATAAATACTAAGCGCCTATCATATTTAGGTACTAGGCCTGGCACTGCAGAAGTAATGGTCAACAAGACAGTTTCTACCTGCATTGTGCTTACAGTCTAATGGAGGACACTGATAATACAAGAAACGAATAAATAAATAATTACAAATTGTAACAAGAGCTGTGAAGGGAGCAGGCTACTCTAATAGAATACTGGTGGCAAAAGGCTGGGACAGGACTCGAATGCAGTTTACTAACTAGAATAATTAGTAAGTCCAGTTTGGTCATAATAGTTAAGAAATACTGACCCATCTTACTCCATTTTGTGAATGTATAAAAACTGATATTAAATACATATGGAACTGAGGCCCGGTGCGGTGGCTCATACTGCAATCCTGGCACTTCGGGAGACTGAGGCAGGTGGCTCACCTGAGGTTCAGCAGTTTGAGACCAGCCTGGCCAACATGGCAAAACTCCGTCTCCACTAAAAATATAACAATTAGCCAGGCATGGTAGCAGGCACCTGTAATCCCAGCTACTTGAAAGGCTGAGGCAGGAGAATCGTTTGAACCTGGGAGATGGAAGTTGCAGGCGACCCTGCACTCCATCCTGGGCGACACAGCGAGACTCCTTCTCAAACAATAAGAAGAAGAAGAAGAAGAAGAAGAAGGAACTAAAAGCCTGTAAAATCTGACATAATCATAATGTCTTACAGTACAAAATAACACTGAGTAATTCTCAACATTTTCAGCAACAACCTCAATTATTAGTAATACTACTAGCACATCAATACCACTTCATGAGTACTTCCTAGTGTGCCAGGCACTGAACTTCAGTTCTTTACAGAATTATTTCCTTCAGTCATCATAACAGCCCTATAAGCTAGATAACAGTACTATTTTAAACATCTGGTACAGTAAGATCACCTTAAACACTTACAAACATGTAACTTTTTTAAAAGAGATGGAGTCTTGCTCTATTGCTGAGGCTGGAGTACAGTGGTACAATCATGGCTCACCACAGGCTTGAACTCCTGGGCTCAAGTGATCCCTCCACCTCAGCCTCCCAAGTAGCTGGGCTGCAGACACACACCACCATTCCTGGCTAGTTAAAATTTTTTTTTTTTTTTTTACAGATGGAGTCTCATTAAGTTGCCCAGGCTGGTCTAGAACTGGTCTCAGATGATCCTCCCAACTCATTGTCCTGAGTTGCTGGGATTATACGCATGAGCTACCCACTTCTGGCTCTAATATATGTTATTTATAATTTTTATTATAAAAAAGCAGGCCAGGCACAGTGCCTCATGCCTGTAATCCCAGCACTTTGGGAGGTCGAGGCAGGTGGATCACCTGAGATCAAGAGTTCGAGACCAGCCCGGCCAACATGGTGCAGCCTCGTCTCTACTAAAAATACAAAATTAGCCAGGCATGGTGGCACACGCCTGTAATCCCAGCTATTCGGGAGGCTGAGGCAGGAGAATTGCTTAGAACCTGGGAGGCGGAGGTTGCAGTGAACCGAGATGGTGCCAGCCTGGGTGACAAAGCAAGACTCCGTCTCAAAAAAAAAAAAAAAAAAAAAATAGGCCAGGCACAGTGGCTCATGCCTGTAATTCCAGAACTTTGGGAGGCTAATGGGGATGGATCATGAGGTCAGGGAATGGAGACCATTCTGGCCAACATGGTGAAACCCTGTCTCTACTAAAAATAGAAAAATTAACTGAGTGTGGTGGTGTGTGCCGTAGTCCCACCTACTCAAGAGGCCGAAGCAGGAGAATCGCTTGAACCTGGAGGCAGGGGCTGCAGTGAGCCAAGATCGCACCACTGCACTCCAGCCTGGGCAACAGAGACAGACTCAGTCTGCCTGTCGTGGGGCGGGGGGAGCGGGGAGGGATAGCATTAGGAGATATGCCTAATGTAAATGACGAGTTAATGGGTGCAGCACACCAACATGGCACGTGTATACATATGTAACAAACCTGCACGTTGTGCACATGTACCCTAGAACTTAAACTATTACAAATAAATAATAAACAATAATATATCCCGCTTAAAAAAACAGAAAATGCAGCTAAATAAGAGGAAAATTTTAAAGTATCCATAAATCCAGAGATAGCCCTTGCAAACCCTTTACATTTTTTAATCCTTTATATTTTTCAGTTACATTTCTATGAACATATATATAATTTTAAAAATCATATCAGAATATATATATTTGTAACCTCTTTTTCATGTAAAATGATAAAAAAAAAAAAATTACCAATTCACTATATTTAACTAATGCCTTGTTGGATAATCTAGGTTATTTGCAGTTTTTATTATATAATAATGGCATGATGAACAATCTTACAGCTAAATCATTTTATGAAGCCTTAATTATTTTCCTTGGAATAAATTCCTAGAAGTAGAATTGCTGATGAAAATAAAAGGCACATTCTTTAAAAAAATTTTATTTTTATTTCTTTATTTACACAGGGTCTTGCTCTGTCACTCAAATTGGAGAGCAGTGGTGCAATCATGGCTCACTGCAGCTTCAACCTCTTGGGCTCAGGTGACCCTCCTGCCTCAGCCTCCTGAATATCTGGGACCACAGGTGCATGCCATTACATACAGCTAACTTTTAAAAAATTATTATTTGTAGAGGCAGGATCTCACTATGTTGCCAAGGCTGATCTTGAACTCCTGAGTTCAAGTGATCCTCCTGCCTTGGCCTCCCAAAGTGTTTTGATTACAGGTGTGAGCCACCACACCCAGTCAAAAGACAGAGTCTTAAGGCTTTAGGGTAAACATTGTCAAGTTGCTTTCTGGAAAGATAACATTTTATACCCCATAAGGTATAAGGATCATTTTACTCTCAGTCTTATCAACCAGGAGTATTTTTCATTTCCTTTTGCCTTTGAGAAACTGATAGTGACAAATTCCATTTATATTTTGATTATTATTGTTACTATTTGACACAGGATCTCACTTTGTCACCCAGTCTGGAGTGCAATGGCACAATCTCCGCTCATTGCAGCCTCAACCTCCCAGGTTCAAGCAATCACACGCTACCATGCTCAGCTAATTTTTATATTTTTTTGTAGAGATGGGGTTTCGCCATGTTGCCCAGGCTGGTCTGGAACTCCTGAGGTCAACAGATCCTCCCGCCTCAGTCTCCCAAGGTGTGTCGATTACAGGTGTGAGTCACCACGCCCAGCCTATTTATTTGATTATTAATGAGATAAAACATTTGCTCATATGCTTACTGCCCACTGGATTTTCTGTCTAATGAAATACTGAACTCATGTTCTTTTCTCATTTTTCTCTACAGATGAGTTTGTCTTTTTAATGTAGATCCAAAAGATGTTATATATAGATGATATTTATGCTTTGTTGGTAATATCCACTATACGTTTCCCATTTGTCACGTATCTTTTAACTTTATGGTGATTTTGTACTTAAAATTTTTGAATTATCTGTTTTCAAAATTATGATATATGCCAAGTTTAGAGAGGTCTACCACATCCTTGTAGTACATAAACATTTACCTGTTCCAGCATTTTCATGGTTTTAGTTTTAATATTAAAATTTTAATTTACATGAATACGGGTATATGGGATCAGTAAGGATCTAACTTAATTTTCCCAGTGATTAATCCTTCTCTCACCTTTATCATATTCTTTTTTGTTTTTGAGACAGGGTCTTGCTCTGTTGCCTGGGCTGGAGCGCAGTGGTGAGATCACAGCTCACTGCAGCCTCAATCTCCCAGGCTTAAGCGATCCTCCTTCCTCAGCCTCTTAAGTAGCTGCGATTACAGGTGCGTGCACCACACCTAATTTTTAAATTTTTTTTGTAGAGATGAAGTTTCACCATGTTGCACAGGCTGCTCTCAAACTCCTGGGCTCAAGTGAGCCGCCCACTTCAGCCTCCCAAAGTGCTGGGATTACAGGGGTGAGCCAGTACACCTGGCCATATCATTTTCTAAATGTTCGTTTATGTTAGGTTAGTTTCTGACATCTATACTCTGCTCCCTACAACACTAATTTCCTATAGCTTTACAATACTTTGTCTTGTCATCTGTATTACTCTTATTAAAAGAGAAACATGTACTCTTCCAAATTAACTGCTAAGAATTTTGCCAGCCGAGTGCAGTTGCTCACACCTGTAATCCCAGTACTTGGAGAGGCTGGGGCAGGCAGATCACCTGAGATCAGGAGTTCATGACCAGCCTGACCAACATGGTGAAACCTTGTCTCTATTAAAAATACAAAAATTAGACAGGCATGGTGGCAGGCGCCTATAATCCCAGCTACTCGGGAGGGTGAGGCAGGGAGAATAATTTGAACTCAGGAGGCGGAGGTTGCAGTGAGCCCAGATCTCACCATTGCACTCCAGCCTGGGCAACAAAACAAGACTCCGTCACAGAAAAAAAAAAAAAAAAAAAGAATTTTGCCAAGCCACTCTCCACTACCTAAAATAGTATGTGACTTCTGAAAGAAATTCTCTAACATACATAGGTTAACTTGGAAGACACTGTCCTTATTAAAGTATGATTCTACTCAAACTTTTCCAGTTCTTCATAAAGCTAATGTACTTTATATTTCTTACTGGGTTTAATCCTACTATTTAATATTATGTTACTGTTATGAATGGGATTATTCACAATACTATAGTAACATTCTATATATATAGTGATATATAAATAATTACTGTAATACAGTAACATACTATAATAGTAACACACTCAAAATATTATTTACTGACATTTACTCAATTGTAACCAAATTGTTTTATATTATAATTTTTTGTGGTAAAATATGTACCATTTAAACCATTTTTAAGTGTACAGCTCAATGGCACTAAATACATTCATATCATTGTATAACTGTCACCATTACTCATCTCTGTAACTGAATTTTGATGACATACAGGAACACCAATGGTTTTTAAATATGCTTTTTATAAGTGGCCACTATTCTCTTTTATTGGTTCTAGTAGTTTTTTGGCTTGACACTAAGGTTATCTAGGTGGACCAGTTGTTCTCAAGAGCAGTTCCACCCTCAAGAAGGCATACTCGATTTCACAAAGGTTTAGGGGCACTACTGGCAAGGAGCCAGGGAAACTAGATTTCCTGAAATGCATAGAACAGTCTCCCGTAACTCAATCAACTTTTAGGTGTCTTGCCAGAATTCATGTAGGTAAAAAATCTGTTTATAACTACAAGCCTTGAACCTCATTCCATTTTGTTTATAAACCAGATTTTTTAGTGCATTTTTTTTTTTTTTTTTGAGACGGAGTTTCACTCTTGTTGTCCAGGCTGGAGTGCAATGGCGCAATCTCGGCTCACCGCAACCTCCACCACCCAGGTTCAAGCGATTCTCCTGCCTCAGCCTCCCGAGTAGCTGGGATTACAGGCATGCGCCACCACGCCTGGCTAATTTTGTATTTTTAGTAGAGACGGGGTTTCTCCATGTTGGTCAGGCTGGTCTCGAACTCCCGACCTCAGGTGATCTACCTGCCTTGGCCTCCCAAAGTGCTGGGATTACAGGCTTGAGCCACCGTGCCCAGTCTTTTAGTGCAATTTTAATATTCAGACTTTTACAAGAGGCGACTACCATATAAACAAGCAATATACAGTAAATTCTCATTATCTGCATAAGTTATATTTCTTAATATACAGAATTAGCAAATACTAAACCACTGCTCCTAGGGGAAATATGCGTGCGTGCGTGTGTGTGTGTGTGTGTGTGTGTGTGTCTATACATATACACATATATACACACCTCACATAGATTATAATCTTAAATTCCAAAAACAACTCATCCAGCCAGGCGAGGTGGCTCATACCTGTAACCCCAGCACTTTGGGAGGCTGATGCTGGTGAATCACCTAAGGTCAGGAGTTCGAGACAAGCCTGGCAACATGGTGAAACCCCATCTCTACTAAAAATACAAAAGTAGCCATGTGTGGTGGCACATGCCTGTTAATCCCAGCTACTCGGGAGCCTGAGGCAGGAGAATCACTTGAACCTGGAGGTGCAGTGAGCTGAGATCGCTTCAGCGTGGACAACAAGAGCGAAACTCCATCTCAAAACAAACCAATAAACACTTCGTCCTAGTATATTCTATTTTCTTTATTCCACAAAAGAGAAAACAGAATTTGGAAGTGTTAAGTGACTTGTCTGAGGCTGCCCCACTAAAAGGTGCCAGAGCTGGGATTCAAGCCCCATTCAACCTGCCCAAGAGCCAGAGTTTCCTGCACTCCACTGCACTGTCCCTCCCCGTCTCCACCTCTGTAGGAGAGCTGAAACAGGAAAGTAGAGCCTTGCCTTGTTCAGCCACAGCTGGAAACATGCTGGTCTGGCAACTAAAGCCTTTGCTGAAAATGACTAAGAAAGTGCCCCGAGTATTGACTTTACAGGTTACAGATAAATTTCAGCCAGTAGGCAAGTTCAGAAATAGACACAATGAGTAGGATCAACTACATATACTCTTTTACTTGGAACCTTTAAAGAAAACGTAAGTGGCAGCAATGCTGCTCATGGTATTTAAGACATAACACACGGGTACTGTGCAGCTGAAACTGTCTCATCATGGTGATACATATATGTACAGCAACTGACTACTTCAGTTTGCCTTCTAGTGTTGTCCTACCCAAAGTCTATGTATTGAACTACATATTTTACTATAAGTTACATTTATTTCCCCTTTATATGATAACTAGATCACTCATCAATTACAAAATGTATAAAGCATATTATCTATGAATTTTATTTCAGGTTAGTAAAGTGGGAATTACAAAATATTTATTAAAAAAGAGAGAACTGGGTTTGATAGGGTTGTGAACTAGTAATGTATATAATGCCATTGGCAAATAATCAATCAGAATTATAATAACACTGCTGAAAACAGCAAGGATAGTGCTTGAGGTTTCAATAGTTTATCATGGCAAACAAGTACTCTTCTAGGCCTAATCTAGTAAGAATTATATCTGGAATGAAGGTGAAATTTTATCAAAAACCTTTCTGACATCGACTGAAATCAAATTGTTTTTCTTCTTTGATCTGTTGTGAGAATTGTACTAATACATTTCCTAACACTGAGCCATTCTTTCAATCTCCAAATAAATTCTGTTTGGGTCATACAGTGTTATTCTCCTAAGGTACAGATTCAATATCCTAATGTTTTACACAAACTTTCTTCTTTATATTGAGATTGATCTAGATTTTTTTTGTCTTGCCTGATTCCTATATAAGGGTTACGCTTCCTTCAATAATTAACCAAGTAGTATTTTATTCTTTTAATGCTCAAGGAAACTAACTGTTCCTTGAGGATTTGACAAAACTCACCTGTAAAAACCACCTTGTGAAGGGACAGTTCTCTGATAACTTTTAATTCCTTCCATGGTAATTGGTCTATTCAGGCTTTCTTCTTCAGTCAATTTTGATAATTTATATTTGCCTATAAAATGATCCATTCCATCAACATGTTCAATTTATTAGCACAGAATAAACCCAGAATTAAAATAAAAATGTCAGCATATAATTATATTCCCGTTTTTACTTCTAAATGTGAATGTTTATTACCTTCGCCAGAGGTTTATTTTATTAGTCTTTTAAAGGAACCAGCTTATGGATTTATCAGTTCTACTATTTCTAATTCATTAATTTCTGCATTTATCTATTTACTTTCTCTTTTCTTACAGTTATTTTGCTATTTGTTTTCTAGCTACTTGGGCTGAATGCTTAAATCATTTATTTCTACTCTATTTACTATTAGTAGTTAATTATTATTTTTTATTTGTGTGCAGCTTTGGCCTCATCCCATAATTTTTTACATATAGTTATTGTGAATTATTATTAAACAGCCTACAAAGTACATTTTTAATTTCCATGTTAACTCGAGATTTATAATAGTCCCCCATCCAACCAGATTTCTCTTTTTTAACCAACTTGTTAATTTCTAATTTTATACTGAAGTGCTATTCAACAAATGAAAATCCAAAAGTCATGTTTTGTGAAGACTGGCACTGATTCTATTTTGACACTTGACCTAAAGAAACACAATACAGCAAAGACAATTTCTTCAACAGGATTATATGCATGCATTTTTCAAGATTCTTGATTTTTTCCTCAAAGTTTTTATAAATGTATACTGAGAGATTTTCCCTGCAACATCCATGCAAAGAAAAAACTCACACTAAACATAGTAAGGTTGCATTTATTAATTGTAGCCCTAAGCCTGTAAAAATAATGTTTGATCAATTAAGGTCTAGAGCTCAGCTCACTGGGCAGTGGTGATCCAAACAAAAATCACATAACAGCCAGGTGTGGTGGCTCACCCCTGTAATCCCAGCACTTTGGAAGGCTGAGGCAGGGGAATCACTTGAGGTCAGTAGGTCAAGACCAGCCTGGACAACATGGTGAAACCCTGTCTCTACTAAAAATACAAAAATATTAGATGGGCATGGTGGTGCATGCCTTACAGGTTTGCCGAGTAACGGGAGGCTGAGGTGGGAGGATCGCTTGAACCCAGGAGGTGGAGGTTACAGTGAGAGAGATCGCGCCACTGCACTCCAGCCTGAGTGACAGAGCGACTCCATCTCGAGTGAAAAAAAAATCACATAACAGAAGGTCCAACCCAATCCTTTCTTACTCTGTTTTTTTCTTAAGAAGTCACCCTCACTCACAAATCAGTGAGGAGGGCGGGATGCCTCAGTGACTTCTTGACTCCTGTATTAACTTAACTTAAAAGTGTATTAAACAAAGTATAAAATGAAATGTTGGTTAATTATCTCCCATAATATATAAAAAAGGCCAAATGGTAACTGCTACCCCCACTCTACCCCCGTATCCCCAATATAACAGATACCTGATTCGATCACTCGTCCCACTGTAACCCCAGCGGCTTTCTACTTGCTGGAATCTATTGATGCAGCATTCCTTTCCTCTGAGGCAGCACCTTGGTCGGTCAATGTATTCAACTCGGGGTTTAGGGTTGACAGTAAAATGAAGAAAGAGGTTTACCACTTCACGATCTGACAAAATTCCAGATTGAGCAGGACCTGTGGAAATAAAAACATAAACCTAAAAAAAGCAATTTGATTTCAATTCCTAACTTTGGAATACTCCACTTAAAGTAAATTCAAATCTAGAGGATATAACATAAAAATAGGGAAAAAAAATCTTAGCATATATAATCTTTGCATATATTTTAAAGTTTCGATAAATCCATTTGAGGTTAAACACATTAATTAAAATGTTAAAAGCATTAATTAGTCAAAATTTAGATTCAGGAATAAATGCTGTTCCTTATGGATGCCAGGAATCCTCCTTTCTCACCTTATATAAAAATCAACTCGAGATGAATCAAAGATTTAAATCTAAGAAACCATAAAAATTCTAGAAGACAGCATCTAGAAAACTCTTCAAGACATTGGCTTAGGTAAATAATTCATGACTAAGAACCCAAAAGCAAATGCAACAAAAACAAAAATAAATGAATGGAACCTAATTAAACTAAAAAGCTTTTGTACAGCAGAAGAAATAATCAGCAGAGCAAACACACGACCCACAGAGTGGGAGAAAATATTTGCAAACTATGCATCCAACAAAGGACTAATATCCAGAATCTACAACTCAAACAAATCAGCAAGAAAAAAAACCCAAATAATCCCAGGACAAAGTGTGCAAAGGACAGGAAGAGACAATTCTCATAAGAACATATACAAGTGGCCAACAAACATGAAAAAATGCTCATGCTCATCACTAATTATCGTGGAAAGGCAAATTAAAACTGCAATAAGGTACCACCTTACTCCTGCAAGAATGGCCATAATTAGAAAAAAAAAAAAAAAAAAGATGCTGGCGTGGATGTGGTGAAAAGGTAACTCTTTTACACTGCTGGTGGTAATGTAAACTAGTACAATCACTAAGGAAAACAGTATGGAGATTCCTTAAAGAACTAAAAAGGGCCAGGCATGGTGGGTCATGCGTGTAATCCCAGCACTTTAGGAGGCTGAGGTGGGCAGATCACGAGGTCAGGAGTTTGAAACCAGCCTGACCAACATGGTGAAACCCCATCTCTAAAAAAAAAATACAAAAATTAGCTGGGTGCAGTGATGGGCGCCTGTAGTCCCAGCTACTCGGGAGGCTGAGGCAGGAGAATCGCTTGAACCTGGAGACGGAAGTTGCAGTGAGCTACGATCGCACCACTGCACTCCAGCCTGGGCAACAGAGCAAGACTCTGTCTCAAAAAAAAAGAACTAAAATTAGAACTACCATTTGATCCAGCAGTTCCACTACCGGATATCTACCCAAAGGAAAGTAAGTCATTACATGAAAAAGATTCTTGCACATACATGTTTATAACAGCACTACTGGCAACTGCAAAAATACGGAGCCAAGCTAAATGCCCATCAACCAATGACTGGATGAAGAAAATGTGGTATATATACACCACAGAATACTACTCAGTCATAAAACAGAACCAAACAAAGGCCTTTGCAGCAACTTGGATGAACTTGGAGGCCATTATTCTAAGTGAAGTAACTCAGGAATGGAAAACCAAATATCATATGGTCTTACTTATAAGTGGGAGCTAAGACGCTATGAGGAGGCAAAGGCCTAAGAATGATATAATGAACTTTGAGGACCTGGGGGAAATGGTGGAAGGCAGGTGAGTGATAAAAGCCTACATGTTGGGTACCATTCCCCAACATGGTGAAACCCCATCTCTACTAACAATACAAAATTTAGCCGAGCATGGTGGTGGGTGCCTGTAATCCTAGCTACTCGGGAGGCTGAGGCAGGAGAATCACTTGAACCTGGCAGGTGGAGGTTGCACTGAGATGAAATTGTGCCACTGCACTCTAGGCTGGGTGGTGACAGAGTCAAAAAAAAAAAAAAGGAATAGAATAGCATTCAAATGAAAGATGGAGCTTTCTACCCAGAAAAATATCCTTCAAAAACGAAGGCAAGCTGGGCTCAGCGGTGTGCCCCTCTAGTCTCAGCTACTCAGGAGGCTAGGGTGGGAGGATTGTTTGAGGCCAGAATTTTGAGGCTGTGAATAGCCACTGCACTCCAGCCAGGGCAATATAGCAGGGCCTCATCTCTTTTAAAAAAAAAAAAAAAAAGTAAGATAAAGCTGTTTTTAGACAAAAGAAAAAAAAGAGTTGAGAGAATCTGGTTAGTATCCTGCCTGTTCTAAAAGAAATACTGAAGGGAATTTTTCAAGCTAACAGAAATGTTTCCAGATAGAAGCACACATCTGGTCATACAGAAAAAAATGAAGATAACTGAAAGGGCAAATATATAGGCAAATCAAAATGATTATTGACTTTAAAAATAATGTTTTGTGGGCTTTGTAACATATGAAAAATTAAAATACACGAAATAGTAGCACCAAAGGCTAGAGAAGGTTAAATATAGCAAAAGTATCAATAATGCCTTTATTATAGTGTGGAAAATTTTAATTAAAATTTTTTAATTTAATTAATTAATTTATTTAGAGACAGGGTCTCACTGTTGCCCAGGTGTGGAGAGCAGTGGTGTGATCATGGCTAACTGCAGCCTTGAACTCCTGGGCTCAAGTGATCCCCAGCTCAGTCCCCCAGGTAGCTGGGACTACAGGTGTGTGCCACCACTCCAGGCAAATTTTTAATTTTTTTTTTGTAAAGACAGGGTTTCCCCATTTTGCCGAGGCTGGCCTTGAACTCGACTCAAACAATCTACCCGCCTCAGCCTCCCAAAGTGCTGGGACTAAAGGCATGAGCCACTGTTCCCCACCTAAAAATTTTAATTTTTAAGATTTAATTTAAAAATCAGTAAGAATATATTCTTGTAATAACAAGGGCAACCCACTAAAATAATAATAAAAGACTCTTTAATAAGGGAGGCTGAGGTGGGAGGATCACCTGAGCCCAGGGGGTTGACGCTGGAATGAGCTGAAATCATGCCACTGCATTCCAGCCTGGGTGACAGAAGAGACACTGTCTACAAAAAAAAAAAAAAAAAGAAAGAAAGTTTAATAGACTATTAATCATATTAAGTATAAAGTGAATCAAATATTCCAAATAAAAGGCAAAGTCTTTCAGACTGAATTTTTAAAAAATGAAGCTTACAAGAGACATGGTCAAAATAACGTAAGGCTAAAAGTAAAAGGATGAGAAAGACATAGAATTTTTAAAACCTTGAGAAACTATACCAATATCAGACAAAGACTTTAAAACAAGAAGTTTAGGCCGGGCGTGGTGGCTCATGCCAGAACTTTGGGAGGCTGAGGCGAGCTGATCACTTGATGCCAGGAGTTCGAGACTAGCCCGGCCAACATGGCAAAACCCCATCTCTACTAAAAATACAAAATTTAGCAGGGCATGGTAGTACATGCCTGCAGTTCCAGCTATGAGAACTGCTTGAGCCTAGGAGGTGGAGGTTGCAGTGAGCGAAGACTGTGCCACTGCACTCTGGCCTGGGTGACAGAGGGAGACTCTTTCGCAAAAAAAATAAAAAACAAAAACCCACAAGAAATTTAATTAGATTTAAAGTGAGATAGATTGTAAAGATAAAGAAGCAAATTCAATAAAAAAAAATCCTAAATTTGAATGTACCTAATGATATAGTCTCAAAATAAAGAAGAAAACTGAAGGAATCGAAAGGAAACACATTCTCAATCATACCCTGAGATTTAAATCTACTTCTTTTAGTAACTGATAGAACAAACAAAAAGCAAATCAATAGATAAATATATAGGAAATTTGAAGATTATTACTATATAGTCCTTTCATAGATATAGTATTCAATTTGTTGCAGAGATATAGGACTATTCAGGTTTTTCTGCATATAACAAATAAGAATACACTTTTCTCAAGTATACATGAATACTTATTAAAACTACCGTATGGGCCAGGTGAGGTGGCTCACGCCTGTAATCCTAGCATTTTGGGAGGCTGTAGTGGGTGGATCACCTGAGGTCACGAGTTCGAGACCAGCCTGGCCAAACATGGTGAAACCCCGTTGCTACTAAAAAATATAAAAATTAGCTGGGCATGGCAGCGCGTGCCTGTCATCCCAGCTACCTGGGAGGCTGAAGCAGGAGAATCGCTGGACCCCAGGAGGCGGAGGTTACAGTGAGCCGAGATCATGCCACTGTACTTCAGCCCGGGTGACAGAGCAAGACACTGTCTCAAAAATAAATAAAATAAAATAATAAAAAATAAATAAAATTACCATATGCTGGGCCAAAGCAGATATCAACAAATTTCAAAGGGCTGAAATGATACAGAATATATTTTCTGACTACAATGGAATTAAGCCAGAAATCAGCAAGAGCAAGATAAGAAGAAATCCCAAATATTTGGAAATTATCTACAATCTATGAGTCAAAGAAAAAAAAAAAAGCAAAAATTAAAAATTTTTAATTGAATGATAATGAAAATACACATATCAAAACCTGGGGGGTGAAGGGTGCTGGGAGGAAAAATACAGACTTAAATATATGCATTCAAAAAGAATACAGGTTGACCTTCTAAGTATCTCAAAAAGTCACAAAGACTAATAAAATAACCCCAGCAAATTAAAAGCAAAGAAAGGAAAGGAAGAAAGTAATAAAGAAAAAGGCAGAAAGTAATGAAATGGAAAACATACTATAATAGAGAAAATTAATAAAGCCAGAAGTTGGTTCCCGGAGAAAATTAATAATATAAACTCTTAAACACTGGGGGGAAAAAAAGGAAATATTTCTAACTTTTGTATGAAGACAATTTTGGCAATTTCATTGCAAGAAAAAATATATAGAGAGACTAATTTCTCTCATTCAGTAGTCATAAAAATACTTTAAAAATTCAGCAAATTAAATCCAGTAATATATAAAAAGGATAATGCAAAACAACCAAGTCTGATTTATGTAAGGAATCCAAAACAGGTTTAAATTGGAAAATCAATTAATGTAGTTCACTATATTCACAGAATAAGGGGGAAAACTGTTATCATTACCTAAAGAAAATAAAAAATAAAAAAAAAATAATAATAAAAATAACTTGGTTCCTCTAAAAGAAAGCAAGAAAGG